TTTGGGGGAGGGCATTAACAGACTCCCTTTGGTCCTTGGTCAGGAAGGCCCAGGCCCCTCCCCCAGAGAGGGTGGGAGGCATGGGCTGAGGGGTAGGTGGGAGCTGCCCACTGGCCAGATGGAGTGGGGTTCCCAGCACCAGGAGCAGGGCTCCCATCGAGGTGGGCTGGGAAGAAACCAAGTCTCAATGGGCCCCATCCCCTGAAAAGGGGCTGCCCCTGGGTAACAAGCTATTCCTAAGGCAGACTCAGGAGGTTGGAGATCCAGCTAGACTCTTCCAAGGCAAACAGTGCCCTGGTTATGGCCATGGGGCGCAGGCTAAGGAGGAGCCAAGGCTGGAAGAAGCTCACAGCTCTTGTGTCACCTTCTGGAGGTAGGCCTCTGACTGTTTGTCCCTTGTTCTTCTGGCTATGGCTGAGCCACAGGTGGATGGGGCCTGATTTTCTGTCTGGAGCAGAACTGCATTAAGAAAATTTAAGCACTCTGCCCTAGTCAGGAAGGTAAAAAGAATGCTGAACTAAGGTGCCAAAAAGAAAAAAGATACCTGGGCTTAAGTAAACGAAAAAGGACTCACAAGGGATGTGTTGGCTGAGAGGGGTCCCCACCCCAGACCCATGTCCCCAGAGACCCTTGCTGGGGTGACCCAGGGAGCCATCTAGAAACCACAGGCACTGCCCAGCCCTTAAGCACCACATGCATGGAGCAGGAGGCCCAGGTCAGACCCACTCCTGCAGGGAGCGCTTACAGTAGAGCAGCATGCGGGGTGCACCCTTGCGCTGCATCTGCACCAGAGCATAGGCAACGCCCAGGACACAGAGCAGCAGCAGCAGGGGCACCAGCACCATCACCACGTTCACTGTCCGCACCACCTCCTCCATCTGCACCACCACTCGGCTGCCCCCATCCCTGTCCTTGTCTCCGTCTGCCCCTGTCCCATCGTCCATATCGCCCTCTGTGCTGTCACCATCCAGCCCAGGCTCTGCACCCCCATCGGGGTTGAAGGGTGGACGGGCCACATCAGGCCATCGGGGTCCAGGTTCCACGTGCTCCTGGCAGCCCATAAAGTCCCGCAGGATGGACTTTGGGTAGCCAGGCTCCATCCGCAGGCGCTCATTGTCAAATTTCCAGTACTTGGTGCCCTTGTAGAAGTAGGTGTAGGCTGTGGGGATAAGCAGGTCACAGTAGCTTCAGGCCAGGGCCCACCTGCCACCAGGTGGAGACTCTCAAAGAAGACCAGGGCATACTTAAGGGGCTTTAATGTGCCAGCTTTGGAGCTGTGGATGTAGCTCATTGGTGGAACATGTGTTTAACATGCTCAAGGTCCTGGGTCTGTTCACATCAGTGAAGTCAAAAGAAGCCAGCACAAAAAGCAAACAAAAACCCCAAGTGCCTTCTTTCTCACTTCCTTCCCTGAGCATTTTGAAATACATTATTTTCCAACTTACAGCAACCAGACTGAGGCTTAGAGAGGTTTGGGTCAAAGACAGACTTCTGGGCTTCCTGAGTAGGCTGACAGGTACAGGAGTGTCCCACAGCCTGCCAGGTTGGGGCTTGCAGTTAGAGAACTCTGTTGCTCTCTGACTGACTTCATTCCAGAGGCTAGTGTGGCCATGTGGCCTTGGGCCTGCATGAACCTAGCTACCTTGACCTGGCTTCTGGCCTTGGGGACCTTGCCTGCATCCCACTGACACTGGGAAGGGCAGCTCTTAAGTAAAGAGCGAGTCAGAGCAGCTTCAGAGCAATACCCACACACAGAAGCTGGGAACCAGCCCCAGCACTGGCAAAGTAAGTAGGGTCTCCCCTGAGCCTAAGAATCCAGACTATGAGAGAACCAAGGCTAGTGCACCAGAGACCCTGCTAGAGAAACACCCACAGTCCCTATAGCTTGGTGATGATGACAGAGACCAGGCTTCCCTTCCAGGCAGATATGTGACACCTCAGCACTGAGCCAAGTCCATCCCATGAAGTGCAAGGCTCCCCAAAGGATTCTTGGCTATGGGATTTGAGGCATATAACTCATGGTCTCTGGTTTCGTCTGCCCTACAGTAAGAAGGGGATGATGACAATGCAGGAAAGATCAAGTGGTCAGGAAGCCCCCAGCCCAGCCCAGGGCCTGACACAGCTGTGGTCCCCCATACAGGCCATCACAATTCTGGGGGACCTTGGGCAAGCCCTGTTGCCTGTGTGGGTAATAGGGGTTGTGGTGAGCCCTGAGGTTACCTGCATCATTGCTTAGGAAGGCCCCCTTGGGGGAGGCAGGGATCCCCTGCCAGACACTGATAGGCTTGGGATAGCCGGGGTCTCCATGCTGTGTCTCCTCATTGAAGCGCCAGTACCTGTGATCAGAAGCAGCAGGCTGTGGACCCAGAGATCTTCCTGGGCCAGCACCTGTTCCCCACTGGCAATGGGCTCCTCTGGGTAGGCTTAGGGGGAAGGAGCATGCTGGAGGCCTTCTTCCTTTAGGGGAGCAGCACTCACCTATCCTCCTGGAAGAAGAAGGTGTGACCTGTGGGCTCCCACCAGATAGCTGTGTCAATGCGGTCATAGGGAATGCCCAGGCCATAGCTGGTCAGTGGCTGTGGGTAGCCAGGTTCCAGATTTGCCTCTCGGAAGAGCCAGTAACGGTCACCTGCAGGCAGAGTGGGAGGCTGTGCGAGGATGGCCTGGGGGCCAGGAGTGCAGGAAATGCTCTTCTGGCCTCATAAAGCCACTCATACTCACTGTTGCCCACCTTGGCCCTCACATGTGCACAAGATCACTCACACTGGTGTCCATGACAGCCTTGAGGCCCCCCCCCCCACCGGACATATACAGTGCTGCTCACAACATCCACTCACTGAACATTCACAGACATCGGTGACACACTTATTTCCAAGTGTGTAAGTCAGCTGCTCATGCCTGACATGCCCACATACTACACATACACATGGGCCTTCATTCCCACAGTTTTTGTGAAAAGAAACAGGGTCTCTGCCTGGCTTCTGAAACTGTGATTGCATACATGGACAAGCGTTCCCACTTTTAGTGGGCTCAGCCCTGTCCCCAAAGAGTTCCTGCCTCACTAAGGCTCAAACATCCTACCCCTCAAGGCCTTTGTCATGCAGGCCACCAGAGTGGGCTTGGGAATCTGCTCTTGTGAGAACAGGCAGAGCTAGACAAAAGTGGAGTGGAGTCCCCGAATTACAGATAATGGGCAGCCTCTGGAACGAAGCCCCACTGAATCACCTGGCCTCTCTCTACTCCCATCGCCACCTTGCTGCCAGTGCACCAGCATCCCAGGTGTCCCTGTCCCCTCCAAGGGAGCCCACAGGATGAGTCATGAGCTGCAACCTGTTGTTTCTTTCTCCCTTTAGGTTCAGCTAGGTCAGAAGGTTGGATGTGAAGGCTACTCAGTCCCCCATCCCCACTCACCTATCCAGCTTACCTTTGAAAAAGACGAAACGACCATCCTGGCGCTCATAGGCAGCACTGATGTCACCAGGCAGACCACGCCAGAAGTGGCCAATGGGCATAGGATAGTTGTCCAGGACACGGTTGTGCCGGACTCGCCAGAACCAGCGGCCCTGAGCAGGGAGGTGTGGGTGTTGGTGTGCAGCAGATGCAAGCTGCCTTGGCTAGGGGAGCCCTGAACTCAAAATGCCTCTTCCCAGGTCAGGGAGGGGCCAGGAGGAGGTCGCTGAGTGTCACCAAGTGCTTACTGCTGGGCGAGTCAAGGCAGCCCTAGGGAGAGAGCTCTGGCAGTGAGCACCTGGGCTTGCTGTGTCATCCTATCAGGCTCTTAGGCCTAGCTGGCTTCTCATCTGGGGTCTGGGGTCTGATGGCCCCTTGGGAGCCATCAGTGAAGGAAAGATAGAGGTGCCTGAGCATCTAACAGGGAAAGACCCTGGATGGGTGGGGTGGGAGCTTGCCTGTGGGGGATGAGGGGGCACCAGGAGGGTGGAACCAGACCTTGAACACGAACATCTCCCCTCGAAGCACAGCCACTGTGTCAAAGTTGCCATCACAGATGTTGGGGCCATACTGGTCAGGCCGCTCTGTAGTTCGGGGCTGGGCTGGAGGGCCTGGTTTTGGGGGCCTCTCTGGTTTCCCGCCTGGTGGTGGTGGCCGGGGGGGCCGGTGGTCTGGCCGTCCTGGCCGCTGGGGTGTCATGGTGGGGAGAGGCCGAGTGGGCTGAGGCTGACCATCTGGGGTGCCTATGGAGAGAGGCAGGGAGCAAGAGTAAGAGAGCGGAAGCCCCAGAATGTAGCCTGGAGGCCAGGTTCTGCTACTCAGCATCTTGGGACCCCAAGTCCCCAGCAGTAGGGCCTCCTGAGTGAAACGTCCTGTCTGCCACAGCAGACTCCTCTCCTCTACCCACCATCAGCATCCAGGAGAGGCAGGCCCATGGCAGGCCCGAGCTAGACAAGGGGGTGAGGGGGATGGGTCTGGCACTCCGGACACCCTTGGTCTGGAAGGAATCTTGCTGAGACTGAGGAGGTAAGGAGAGCCACCTGTGTCCCCTCACCTGCCTAGAACCATGTGTGGGCTTGGGGGCAAGACCTGGGTTTGATTTCCAATACCACATGGGCAAATCACTGATTTTCACTTGGTCTGTTTTTTCATCTATAGAATAGTAGCAGTGCCTGTGTGTCACAGGGCTGGGAATGGGAAGGGCAAGCAGGACCCCCCAGGGGCAGCCACTCACCATAGAGCTGCTGGATGCCCCGGAGGTCATCCTCAGGCAGCTGGAAATTGTCAATGTCCATCCACTGGTAGAACGGTGCCATGATGGCGCTGGGGTTGCTGGAGTGCTCCAGCCCCAGAGCATGGCCCAGCTCATGCACTGCCACCAGGAAAAGGCTGTTCCCTGTGGTGAAAGCAGAAGCACAGTCACTGTAACCCATCCCAGCACCCGGTCACCTGGCGCTCTGGCCTGAGGCTGCCACAGAGCCTGTCCTTGCTTCTCTCTTGGACGAGGCTGAGCTGCTCTGACTTTTTTTTTGTTTGTTTTTTGGTACCAGGGATTGAACTCAGAACCTCACACTTGCCAGGCTGGTGCTTATGCCACTGAGCTAAATACCCACCCAGCCCTGCTGCTCTGACTTCTGCTCTCTATTTTCCCCATTTGAAAAATGGATACAACCAACCCTTCTCTTTCTACCTCTCATTGGAGATGGTGGGACTGCAAACCAAGATCTAATGAAGGGCTCTGAGACCTGGGCAGCGGAAGCTATTCCCTTCCCACTCTGCAGCAGCTGAACCCACTTGGAAGGGCCCATGGCCACCTCTGGCACTGCCTTCATCTAGGCCAGCCATCCTCACCATGCAGGTCAGTGCTGGAGAAGGTCCAGGGCTCATCTGCGTCGAAATGGGTATCTCCACCCAGGCCAGGGCCAGGGAAATAGGCATGAGCCAGAAAGCCACCCATGCCATCAAATGGTGAGCTGTCACCATGGAAGCCAGAAGCAAAGAGAACCATAATGTCCGCCTCCTTCTGCCGGCGCAGCCTGATGTCGTCATAAGGCACCTCCTGGAAGACCAGGGGCGTCGCCTGCTCCCATACTCGGAAGGCCCTCCGCACCGCCTCCATGGAGTGGTACCAGCCTAGCTTCTCTGTGTAGTTCTGGATGCTGCAGGAGGCATGAAGACGTGTGAGTGAGAGTTACTCTGTCCTCATGTCATTGTCAACTGTTAGTTTACTGTGATGTGAATTAGACTTTGTCAAACCCTTGTAGTTCATTAAAATATCACTATGTACATTTGCATTAGGGCAGACAAACTAATTTTAAGAAAACAAGCAAGCAAATAAAAGTAGAGGAGCTTTGTGACTAGACCTAAGGAAGGGGATCAGATGGCTGAGGTTGAGAAACCCAGGCCAAGCAGTTCTGAATGTGGAGCCCAGGGCCAGGCAGACCTCAGTTGTAGGCCCAGCTCTCACTTTATCTGTGTGACCTCCGGGAAAGGACTATATCTCTGAATTTCAGTTTCTTCATCTTTAAAATGGGAAATGGAAGCCACACTTCCTTCCTGAGGTCCCTGTGAGGATTAAATGAAATCACTGATTAGGAATACAGCAGTCTGCACATAGTACGGTGTGACAAGGCCCTCTGCTAATGAAGCTTCTAAATAATTATGCATCTGCATGCTAGATGGACATCTATGAAATGGCAAGGGGGGATTTTGGCTGACGGGGCCTTGAATTCACTCTACAAGCCAGAGGCCTAAGTGATCGTGAGAGCTGCTTTTTCTTGGCCTGGAGGTGGAGTCATGGCTGGACTGGAACAGGAAGGAAGCCCTTAGGAGCCACCACGTGGCTCAGGGGCTTTTGCTCAAGGACTTAGCAGAAAACAGGGGAGTACCCAAACTAGGGTTCTTGTAGGTGCCTTGCTGCCTGCCCACTTGATGAATTCCTGGTTTCCCATACCCCAGCCTTCCTTCGGGTCTCCCCCTGAGATGTGCTGTTGCAGGAGCCCACAGAGCCAGTGTGGCCAGCCCAGATTGCTGGTTAGTTGGAAGCAGGGAAGCACAGAGCTGAAACAACTTGAGGGTCCCAGCCTTCTCTGGAGGGAGACTCAAGCACGTGACTGGTCTCATCAGTGTGGGAGCAGGCCGGTCTAGGCCAGGCCCCTGGGGTGGGCTGCTAGGACCAGAAGCCTGAGTGAGGCTCTGCCCACTGAGGGGCAGGACCACTGGCTGGACAGCTGGGTCCATACCTGAAGGTCAGGTGGTGGTTGTTCCACTTCCTCCCAGTTAGGGCATAACGCTTCCGCCGCCGCCGCAGATTCGCTTTCACTCGCACCCCAAACTGGTCTGGCACCCCACAGCGGGGTCGCTTCATCCACCTGGGCCATAGGTGTGGAGGGGTAAGCCTCGAGCCTCCCCTCAACATACCTGCCTTCCTTAGCTCCGCTTCTTCCATGCAGTCTTCTTCCTTCCAACCTCCTCCCACCCCCCAGCTGCCCCTGCTAAAGATGTGATGGGGTGGGAAGACTCAACTTGCACTTCCAGTAAGACAGGCAAAAGGTTCCTGTACTGGAAGCTGTGTGCCTAGCAGTGGCTCAGTAAAGGGGAGCCCCTTCTCACTGGCACCCAAGGACGGGAGGGCTGCTCTTGAGGCCTCCTGTTCTTAGTGTGTTATGTTCTGTGCTTCTTAAAAGATGTGGCTTTAGGTCTGCTCACTTCTGTTAGAATGAGAGCAAGGCCTAGCAAGGTCACCCCTTCCAGGGCTTGCATACTGGCGTCCCATACCCATGCCAGGCTGGGATCCGGCCTCAACGCAAGACTTTATGCAGCCACTGCACCCAGTCCCACCTGGCACAGAGAAACAAATCATCCATTATTTGTTACCCAGGCCACTCTTTTCTGGAAACTCCATGTGTCAGGCCCTCCTTAGAACAGGCAAGAGGCAGGAGAGGTGCTTGTGGGGGCTGGGAGCGGGGACTCACGCCTTGGTCTCTTCATCGAGTACACCTGTGACAGGGATCCCGTAGAAGCGCTGCATCTCCGCCAGGGCTGAGGCCAGGATCTGGGCAGAGCGCAGGGTCGACATGTGGCGATTGGGCTGGGGCAGGTAGCCATAGAGCCGCAGCCAGTTCTGCAAAGAAGCCACAGTCCTATCAGCCAGTCTTGGCCCTGCCACCTCCAGACATGCACAGCCTGCTTCCAACACCTCTCGCCACCTGCAGCACTGCCTGTCTGAGCAGCCATCAGCCCTGGCTGGGTGACCTGTGAGCCTCTGGACTGACCTCTCTGCTTCTACCTTCCTTGTCTAGACTCAACACAAGAGGACAGCAAAAGGCGAGGCCAGTGAGGTTAGTTAGTTCTCTGCTTGAAACCCTCAAAAACCTCCCATCCCAGAAGAAAAGCCAAAGCTTACGGGACCTACAAGGCCCTCACTCCTGACCCCACCTTAACTCTCTGACCTCACTCATCCCATCAAGCTCAGCTGGCCATCCACTCTTCCTGTGGGCTTGTGTATGTGCTGTTCCTGCTGTCTGGAGCACTCTTTCCCTACTCCAGGCTTAGATCCTCAGTTCTTTAAGGTCTCTGCACCTTGTGGGAGAGGTGTTCTCTGACAACATGTAGAATTGGCCCTGCATCTCCTTGCTAAACCCCTTCTCCTCTCCTTGCACTTGGCTCTCCCTGACACACCATCTGCTTTACTAGGTAATACTGTTCATGTTCCCCCAATAGGAGAAAGCTGTGTGCCTAAGGACAGACTGAGTAGCTCACCTCATTACTGCACTGGTCTCACCAGGGTGGCCCCTGTCACTTCAGGCAGACTGCTAGGGACCCCCAAGGGTTCAAAATCTCCTAGTATCTTGCCAAATAGGAAAACCCAACCCTGGTGTTGCTCCCCAGCAGGCCCAAAGTCTCCCAGGAGTAGAGGAAACAGACTCAGGCAGCCCACCTAGACCCAAGAGGGTAGGGCAAGGCCCTGAAGCCAAGTCCTTGCTCTCTACACAAAAACTATCATCTCTGGGCCTCTACATCATCTGCAAAATGGGGGATAATGGGGTTGTTGAGATGATACTTGAAGGAGACATGGGAAATGCATCTGGATCCATCCCTCCCTGTCCATAGGTGCTAGTCAAATCTCATCCATCACCATAATTCATCTGGAATCCTGCCAGAGGTTTCTGAGTACCCTCTCTGTGCCAGCCGGGGGTGGGGGGCATGGCTGAAGTGTCCTGTCCTTCAGAGCTTGCAGTTACCCTGGGAGACCCAAGGCACCCATAGAGGAAGACTTCATACCTCTCAAGTCTGTGAGCAGATAAGACACTTGCAGTCATGGTGGGCAGTGCCAGCCCCATGAGCTAGGCAGAGCAATGGTGAGAAAGGCCATTCCACTTGGCCTGCCTGGTGCCCTCAGGGCCACAAAACCATAGCGACCACAGTGGGAGTGGGAACAGAGGCTGGGGGCTGTTTGTCACATGCATGTCCTTCGTACCTTTTGTGGTCTGTCCAGAAAGTCTGTCCTAGTGGCTCTGGAAGGTGAGGACTGTACGAGCCCTGAGGCAGGACAGTAGCTGACACAGTGGCTGCTTTGGACTGACAGCATATGTCTGGTGGCCAGGGCCACACCTACATATCTGCCTAGCACCACTGTCGCATCTAAACCCTCAGGTGCTGGAGTCCTCAGGCCATTTGCCTGCCCCACCAACTCAGCAGCACACTGGCTGCCATGGGCAGAGTGGCTGCAGACCCCAGGGGGCAGTGCAGGGTAGCTGCCAGAGTGGCAGTCTGGGTGCACAGCCGCTGCTGCACAGAGCAAGGGGGCAGAGGCACAGAGCTGAGAAATAGCAGGCGCCTCTGACACAGTACTGGGCAAAGCCTGGCTTGGTAATCTCAGAGGCATGACTCCATGCTCCCTGGGCCTCAGCTGGCACCAGTAAAAGGGGGGGGGGTAAATTTAGGGCCTGTCTCATCTCCTGGGTTCTGCAAAGATTAAACAGGACAGTGTTCAATGAATGTATCAGTGATGGAGACCAGGGGGCCTGTCTGGTTGTCCCTGAAGCTGGCAGTCTTTTGAAAGGTTCCAGCTTCATGTGACTGGCGACTGGCCAGGCACAGCTTGGGAAGAAGGAGCAGCCCATGGCCCTTCCACCAAAACTTGGTCACCATTCCCCTTGGCTCTGGCCAGGTCATGGCACAAGGCCTGTTCTTCCCAAGCTTCTATGGTGAGGGGGCAGTGAGTTCACCCCCTCTTCCTTAGTGGACAGAGTTCCTGAAGGTGCACGGAGCAGTCAGAGGACAAGGCTGTGTGGCAGGGCTAGCTGTAACAGCAACAGGCAGTCAGCAAGAGGCAGGGGCAGAGTAGGGGCCGGCTGCTGACAGATGAGGGCACCTCTGCGTCACCTATTTGCATAAGGTAAAAATATCTCTGGGAGCACAATCACAGGCCACCAAGGGCCTGATTAGTGGTGTCTGCAGAGCGACAGGAGGAGGGGCAGGCTGGCACAGGAGGCTCAGGCAGGGCCCTGGGGAGAGAAGAGGGGAGGGAGGGGAGGAAAGCTGAGCTAGCTTGTCTGCAGTGAAGAGCTCCAGAGAACAGCAGAGGGGATGGGCAGAGGCCCTTTTCAATCCCAGGATGAGCTCAGGGGCTTCCAGAAGGACCCCCAGGGGCCTGCAGCCCCTCCTTCACAGACAGGCATTCTCTGAGTCTCCAGGAAGCCACCAGCTTCTCACTCTCAGCCTAACCTCAAACCTTCGGCAGCCACTGTTGGCATGAAAAGCCAGAGGTGGAGAGCCAGTGACACCCCTTGGGCAGCAGGGGGAGGTAATCGGAGCTATGGCCTTGGCAGAGCAGCTGAGCCTCTGGATGACAA